AGTGTATAAGACTCAAGGCAAATGAACTGCTCATAATCATTGTATTCTTGTTGATAAGGCCTCCAAAGGTATGGGGGATATTTAACAATTCTGATATGTCTATACATGTATTTTGGGAATGAACAATTAAGAAAATGGATAGTGAGAGGGTTGTGGGGACCATGGTCTTAGGAAACATCTAGTGCAATTGGCATAAAATAGTTTATAAAGAAAATGTTCTACATTCTACTTTGGTGAGTAGCGTCTGGGGTCTTAAAAGCCTGTGAGTGGCCATCTAAGATACTCCACTGGTCTCATCCCTTCAAGAGCAAGGAAAAATGAAGAAAACTAAAGACACAAGGGAAAGATTAGTCCAAAGGACTAATAGACCATAACTACCATGGCCTCTACCAGACTGAGCCCAGTACAGCTAGATGGTACCCGGCTACCATCACTGACTGCTCTGACAGGGATCACGATAAAGGGTCCTGGACAGAGCTGAAGAAAAATGTAGAACAAAATTCTAGCTCAAAAAAAGACCAGACTTACAGGTCTGACAAAGACTAGAGAAGCCCTGAGAGTATGGCCCCTGGACACCCTTTTAGCTCAGTAATGAAGTCTCTGCTGAGGTTAAACTTTTAGCCAAAGATTAGACAGCCCCATAGGACAAAATGAGACTAAGGGGGCACACCAGCCCAGGAGCAAGGACTAGAAGGCAGGAGGGGACAGGAAAGCTGGTAATAGGGAACCTAAGGTCGAGAAGGGAGAGCATTGACATGTCATGCAGTTCTTAACCAATGTCATAAAACAATATGTGTACTAACTGTTTAATGAAAAGCTAGTTTGTTCTGTAAACCTTCATCTAAAGTACAATTAAAAAAAAGAAAATGGATGGTGAATGGTGAGAGTCAGGTTTCTCACTGTTGAAGTGGAAATTTACAGATAAGAAAGTGAGGGGAGGTTATAATGATCCATGTGATAATGGATTAGAGTTGGAGATACCGGTATGAAGTCATGTTTGGCTTAACATAGCTACAGATCATTACACGTAGAAATATTTATAGATATGTCTATATACATAAGTTAGTATATGCACATATATTTCCTTCCTCTGTCAGCTGAGAAGATACCTCTAAAAGAAATGATATTTCAGTAGCAACCAGCACACCTAATGCCATTCTTGTTTTCTAATGCCATTCTCCAATAAAAGGAACCAGAACTCTTTGAGAAATTTCTGATCCTAGGACTCGGTCCATTTATCATGATAAAAGGAGAAAAGATTGAAGTTGTCAAGGATTTCATTTTACTTGGATCCACAATCAATGCCCATGGAAGCAGCAGTCAGGAAATCAAACGACCTATTGCATTGGGCAAATTTGCTGCAAAGGTCCTCTTTAAAGTGCTAAAGAGCAAAAACATCACTTTGAGGACTAAGGTGTGCCTGACCCAAGCCATAGTATTTTCAATATCCTCATGCATGCAAAAGCTGGACAATGAATAAGGAAGACCAAAGAAGAATTGACAAGTTTGAATTTTGGTGTTGGTGAATACTCAATATACCATGGACTGCCAGAAGAATGAACAAATCTGTCTTGAAAGAAGTATAGCCCAAATGCTCCTTAGAAGGGAGGATGGTGAGGCTACTTCTCATGTACTTCAGACGTGTTATTAGGAGGGACCAGTCCCTGGAGAAGGACATCATGTTTGGTAAACATGCAAAAAAAAAAAAAAAAAAAATTGGCATGGAGGCTCTTACAAAAATACCCTGCTGGAAGAGGAAGCAGTTGGCAAACAAATGTAGAAGGTGAGAATTATTTGCATAAAAATAAGGGTCAGCAGAAAAAGAACATTCAAGGAGATGGACTGACATAGTGGCTGCAACAATGGGCTCAAACATGGCAATGATTGTGAGGATGACGCTGGACCGGGCAGCTTTTCGTTCTGTTGTACATAGGGTCATTCTGAGTTAGAACCGACTCCAGGTCACCTAAAAACAACAACAGGACTGGATCAGGAAATATACTAGATGAGCCTGGAGTATCTTGTAAAGCCAGAAATAAGAATGTCCTCAAAAACAAACAAAATGAAAAAACAAAACTAAACAACAGCAAAGCAAACACATAAAAACAGAAAACAAAACAATATAAAACAAAAAACCCACATTGTTGGGGTATGTGGAAGGACCTAGGAAACAACTGAAAGAGCACCCGACGGACACAGCTGAAACAATTTGAGCAACAAAATAAATAAATTACTATTGGATTATAACCTAAAGTATAAAATAAATATTCATGAGCCCACACTAATATGAATAAACAATTGAACAAATAAACAAATAGGGAGAAGAGACAAATCTCCTGTGCAGAAGAATTCCAAATAATTAACGTAGATACTCTGCCCCCAGTGCTGGGGAGCTTAACTCCTCACTCCTCAATTGTGGGCTGTTGTGCATAGTGACTTCCTTCCAAAAAGTACATATAGAAGAGGAGGGCAGGTAACTTTAGGGTGGAGAAACCTGAAACACACTACCTCAGCCAGGTGATCAAGGTTAACATCAACGGTGATAAATCATGTTGATAGTACATACCCTTGGCATTATGTGATGAAACGGCACTTACCTCTGTGATCTTCCTTGCAAAAAACCACAACCCCAGTCTAACCACAAGAAAAAAACATCAGACAGACACAAACTGAGGAACATTCGACAAAATAACAGACCCATTCTCCTCAGAGCTGTCAAGGTCATCAAACACAAAGAAAGTCTGAGAATGTGTCACAGCTAAGAGGACTCTCAGGAGACATGACCACTACACGGAATGTGGTATCCTGGATGGGATCCTGAGAGCAGAAAAGGACATCAGGTAAAAACTAAGGAAATCTGAATAAATGAAGAACTTTGGTTAATAATAATGCATAAATATTGGTTTTTTAATTGTAACAAATGTACTGTACTAATGGAAGATGTTTGTAACAAGGGAAACTGGGTTCAGAGGAACTGTACTATCTTCTCCATTTTTCTATAAATCTGAAACTGTGCTAAAAAAAATAAGATCTATTAAATAAAAGCTAATAGTAAAGGCACACCTTTACTTCCTTTAGTGATTCTGTCACTTTTCCAGTCAGAGGTCAGTCCCAGAGAGTGTCTCCTCCCCCCACTTTGCCCAATGTTGATTCTAGAGCTTTTCTAAAGACAATTTGCACACACTGTGGGTGTTTCTGATTCCTTCTCCTCTTGCCCCCAGTCTCCCTGCACAGTCCTGCCCAGGCCTCCACGTAACTCCTCTACCGTGAAGAGAACTTGAGTTTGCCTTCTCATGATCTAAGTAATGAGAACATCTGACATGTGTTAAGGCAAGGAGTGATGTGGTTAGATTGGAATTTTTTAGCAGAACATAGGGTCATTTGTGTGGTGGGTGGATTGCAGGGTGTGGAGAGATAGATATAGTAAGGGAGACCAGCTTGGGGGCTATTGCAATAGTTCAGGTGAGAAATTATCTCAGTCTATGCTTGGGAGGTGTTGGTAGGGGTAGGGAGGACTTGATCATGGGTGAGGGGTGGGGAGAAGGAGAAGGAGGACTGAGGAATGGTGATGGTGTCTCTGGCTTAGCTGAATGCACATGTGGTGGTGTCATTACCCAAGAGAATACCGAAGGAGGAAACACATGGGGAGTGTTCCTGGGGGTTGGGTGGGCTGTGAGGGATGCTGAGAGCCATTTAGATCTACTGAGTTTACATGCCTATGGACACTTAGTAGTGAAGTCCTCTGTAGGTAGTGAAAAAGCTCCAGGGGTTCTTGAGACAGCCTGCTTGAGATGATGTGGTTAAACAGTTCAAGGCAGGGCTTGAAGAGTTACTGGAAGGCCTTGTCCCAGGAAGATGAGAGCCCCAAGTCCTGATGTTTTCAATGGCAGTAAAGGGTATGGAAATGCCAGGGGGCCAGGTAAATGAGGAGGATAATGGCTGCATGACCTTAGATCTGTGTTTCTCTGGCCTAGTCACCATTTCTGGGTTCCACAATTCCAGCTGGCACACCTTTACTTCCTGTAGTGATTCTGTCACTTTTCCAGTCAGAGGCCAGTCCCAGGGAGTGTCTCCTCCCCACACTGTGCCCCATTTTGATTCTTCAGATTTTCTAAAGTCTCCCTCAGCCAAGCAGACAGTCCTTAAGACTCTTGGGGACCATGAGAATACCCTGCACAGAGGAGAAAATCCAGGCAGAAATGTCTGGAGATGACCCCGGAACCCGGATGAGAGCCCTCAAACCTCCCTGGTGCCTTCCTAGTCTGTCGCCTCCCTCAACTGAGGGCATGAGTCAGGGGAGAGAGTGTAGGGCTGAGCTTGGCTATGGGCTAAGATTGGGCTGTTTGTGTATAGTGAGAGGAAGTGTTGGACTGAGGTGGATAGACCCTCTAGCCCTAACCAGAATAACTAATCCTCTCTCCATGACTGGCAGGTGTTGCTTTCAGGTATTGCATAAGCAAAGTTGTTTGTTTTGGTTTGGTTTGGGGCCTGTTTCTTTGTCAGATGCTGTTGAATGTTTGGCGTGGTTTTGAGAGCAGAACCAAAGAAGGGTCAGGACATCTTTCTTCCTTTGGGAATTGACCAAGAGAGTCAGTTGCAATCATGGACTCACACATAGTTTTTTATATGATGTGGGACAGAGGAGAAGCAAAGAGAATACAGGAGCCCAGGAATTGCAGGATTTATTATGTATCCTTGTACACACTCACAGATTCAGCTATAATTCTAGGGTGAAGTCAGAGTTCCAGTAATAAAGGTCCCTCAGGCAGAGGCTCTGGTCTTCTGAGGTTGGTATTGGGCTCATTGGGGTGGGAGCTGGGCAATAAGTTACCCTTCCCATCACCCCTATCAAAGAGACAAGGAGACATGCAGAGTGACAGAGTCAGACAAGTTCATGAATGAGGCGGGCTGCCCATGCTGGAGAGCTGAGGTAAGCGGAGCAGGGGCTCTCTTTTCACTTGTGTGGGATGGCCTGAGGGCGTCTGAGACACTACAGGTAGTTACTTGTGTTTGGAGGGGTACTGCTCCTCTTGCTTCTGCTGCTGCTGCTCCATAGGGAACAAGACTTCTCCCTTCAGTGGCTAGACTGGCTGGGTCTCTTGGACCTGGTCAGGAGCTGGGACAAGCACAGGCTGCTCCTCCTGCTGCATTAAAGGCTCTGCTGCTTCTGATGCTCCAGGTGCTCTGGCAGCTGCTCTTCTTTCTTTCCCAGTTGCTCATCTTTCTTTTCCAGCTCTTGATCTATTTGATGGTCCAAGAGCTTCTTCTTCTGATCCAGTTGCTCCTTCAGCTGCTCCTCCTTTTGTGCTTTCTCCTGCTTTGGCTGCTGCTCTAAGCTTTCTGACTCCTGATGTTCCTGATGCTGTTCTTGGTGCTGGTGTTCCTGTTTCTGTTGTTCCTGTGGCTGCTGCTGCTGTTCCTGATGCTGTACCTGCTCCTGTGGCTCCTGTGGCTCCTGTGGCTGCTGCTGCTGCTGTTCTTCATGCTGTTCCAGCTCCTGTGGCTCTTGCTGCTGCTGGTCCTGATGCTGTTCCAGCTCCTGTGGCTCTTGCTGCTGCTGGTCCTGATGCTGTTCCA